AATAGGTGGTTCTCTCTCCAGTGCTGGCCCTATTGCGTTGTGATGTCTGGGTGAAAAGTAGGGAGGAATCGGGATTCTGTTTCTTGTGGCTAAAGTCCTGGTTTCGCTTCATTAGTGACCACAGTGGAAATACATTGGGTCTATTAGTAGCAATAGACTAACTTGTGGGTAGCATCTCCTCTGTGTTGAGATGTCTAACTGGTTCTTGTACTGAGGATGGGATGGGGATAGTGTTCTTAGAGCCCACGAGTGGGGAGCATTCTGAAACTGGGTAAGGACTGAGCTCTCAGTTGGGCCGGTCACATGCAACAGAGGATTTGGAAAATTCAAATACATGAAATATGGATGCATAGTGTTAGGAATATTTCTTAACATTAGCTGCCTGCCGACGCAAAAGTTCCCAATCAAGCCAAATCAAAACAAGCCAAATTAAGAAATATCCAGGTTTAATGGGAGATCTGTGCTCTTGGGTGGCCCCGAGGGGAAAACGGAGAAGCCGCGGAAACGCAACCCCCGTGAGGAAGAAAGGGAGACCACGTGTTCCTCTTTTGGGGGATCACTTAAATACCCTAGGGAGTGGGGTCAGGACTGCTGAGATTTGGAGTCCAGACCAGGGTGCTGGGATAGATGCGAGGGACAGGGGTCCTACGCTCCCAACTTGACACATAGATGGCGTAAGGTGGCTAGGATGTATGTCCCGTCCCTTGGAATCCACCAGAGCAAACCTGAGTCACCAGTATCAGCCCCTGATCACTTTCTCTAAAACAGAGAAGGCTGTGTGCTCAGTAGACCTCAGCTCTGGGTGTAATTATTCAAACACCCGTATAACGGAAGCTGGCAAGATGACTCAGCTGTGAAGAGCACTGGCTGCTGTTGCAGAGGGCCTGGGCTCCGTTCCAGCACCCACATGGTGGCTCACAGTCATCTGTTCCAGGGGATCCGGTGCCCGTTCCTGGCCTCTGCATGTGGTGCACATATTTGCAGGCAGATCAACACTCATGCATTTAAGATAATAAGGTAAAACAGCAGACAAGCGTGACTGTCCCAGACCTACTCTGCAGAGAGAACAGCAGTGACTGCTTTAGTATAACCAGCTATATAGACCATCAGTACTAAGAAGTTGGTATCACACTTTTGTACAGTTTTATAATTTGCTCTTTCTTGGCAACTTACAGCAAGAATTACCTCATGTATGAGTTTCTGTGTGTGTGTGTGCAGGTCTGAGATCCATGTTGGTTTCCCTTCCTCACACACTAACCACCTTGTCTTCTTGAGATCAAGCCTCAAGCCCTAGAGGTCTCCGCCTTCGCCTCCGCAGTGCTGGGATTCCAAGCCTACGCCAGATACCCAGCATTTTATTTAACTTGATGACCAGGGATCCAACTCATGTTCTCACGTCTGCACGACAAGCCCTACTGACTGAACTTCCTTCCCTGCCTCTAGACAAGCGTTTCAACAGACTACTGTAATTGCCAAGTGCCTGCCAAGGAATATTCTGGGAGTCTTCAACGTCTGTTATATAGTTGGAGCCTTAGTGACTGTCTTCTACACACAACAGCACACAAACAGTTCTTTCCCAATATTTTTGCTGCCTCCAGCATCCTTTTAGTTTGTCCAGATCTAGTAAGCGATTCTACTTGTTTGTGATGGAGCTGGGGCTGGCCTTATGCTCAGGACTGCCCTCGGCATTGTTTAAATCTTCATGTCATTGGCATCATCTTAGTTCTTGGTGTTCTTAAACCACTCCTATGTTTGTTTGTTTATTAAAAAACTTAAACAAGATAAAGCAGTACCTCTTTTCATACCTCAGGCAAAGTAACAGTGCATCTTGTTTCTCTTTGAAGAGTTCCGGGCGTTTTCTTACACGGTTACCATGTTTTCCTGTTGGCTTATGCTGGAATCTAGCCTAAGATATCTCACTATGATACAGAGGTGCATAACTTTCAATGCGTTAATAATTTATCAGGCTTCCAGATGAGTACCTTGGCTTCAGAGAATGAGTTGGGAAGTGGCTTCTCTAAGAGCCTAGGGCACTGTGACTAAGGAGAGCAGAAAGCTTTGGATTCTAAGTGCTCACGTTGAAGTTTTAGCATGGACTTTACCAGATCTGTGATGTCAGACAAGTCACTGGAAGCTGGTGAGCCTCAGTTTCTTCATCTGTAAAGCTGAATAATAGCACTAATATTACGAGGTATTTATGATGGATAAATCTGTAGCACCTTTGTTACAGGTAGCAAATAATTATTAGTTAGCATGGATGTCTGTGCAAGGGAGCCAGATTCCCTGGAATTGGAGTTGCAGACAGTTGTGAGCTGCCATGTGGGTTCTGGAAATTGAACCCAGGTCCTCTGGAAGAGCAGCCAGTGCTCTTAACTGCTGAGCTATCTATCTGGCTCCATGCTATTTCTTTTTGGAGGAAGAAACTGAGTTTCCTAGCTCCTTACTGTCAGGGTTTCACCGTCTTTTTCTCCACTACCTTCAGCTGACTTTGTGTGCTGTCCTTTATGTGTGTTTGCATGCTATAAGCATATGTGCACATTTCTCTGTGTGCACATGTGTGTGCTCATGCCTGCAGAGGCCAGAGGTCAGAATTGGGAATCTTCCTCAGTTGCTCTCTGCCATGTATTTTGAGACAGGGAGCTCAGTGATTTACCCAGTCTCACTGTACAGGAAGGCCCCAGGATCCTGCTGTGTCTGCCAGCCCAAGCCCCATGCACTGCTGTAGCCAGCTTTTATGTTGCTGCTGGGGATCACACTTAGGACCCAGTGCTTGCCTGGCAGGCACTTTATCAAGTGATCCATCCCCCTGACCCCGACCCCGTATGCTGTTCTTTATTACTGCAACATCATGGTTGCCCCTCTGCCCAGAATGGAGTTCTGAGCTAGCTGCTTTCAATTTGCCTCTGAGAAGCAATGCTCAGTGGCACCCCTTTCCATTCTGTGTCACAGGGCAGAGTTGCTTTGGGGTTCAGGGGATTTTTTCAAGTTCCCATAGCCTTCTCCAGAAGGACTCAGAACGCCTTAACTGTCAGATAACCCGTAAATGCAAACGGCACTTGTCAGTTGGTTACAGAGAGGGTTTTACTCGTGGACTAGAGAGAGCAGTACGTCATGTACAACCTGGAGAGTATTTATCTTCATAGTACTGAGAAGTATAAAGTAGTATCTTCCTCTTTTTACAGTTATATTTTTAAAACAGCTGATTCCAGAAACATGTTCGATATTCTGAGCACAGAAACGGAAAGAAATGAAAGCCAGCGACATAATCCTGGAATTGACTTTAGAAATGAAATACACAGCAAAAATGAGGTGACCTCCGACCTCCCACGATGGATTTCCAGTCTGTGTGGGATGACCTGGTTGTCTCGAAACTTGCAGTGGTGTTCATGGGGTTTCTGAGCCTCCTTTTATTAGAGCTACTTCCTGACTTTGCCGAGGCTTTCCGTAGGCTGAGAACGGGGCTCCTGAATTCATTATAATTTCTGGAATTATATGCACCTTTTTACTTTAGTTAGCTGTTACAACCTTTTGTGTCAGATGAAAGACATCAGCAGAAGCCAGTGCCCTTGGTTTCTTCCAAGCATTCGGGAGGATCTTTTCGTCCAGGAATGGGGGGTGGGCTTTGCTATCATAAGAAACCTGGCCATGATCTAATCTAACGGCCTTCTAGTTTGCATTGTTACTCGCTGTACTTTCCTGGTGGGTTGCTAGGAGTGTTAAGCTGAGTCACTTAGGTAGTGAACTTAGCGTGTTATCTTGGAGCATGGAGGTTCTTCCCCTCCACCCCGTTTTGTACTAGCAACATCATTAGTCTTGTTATTCACATTAGGCGCCATTCTAGTGACTGAAAATACTCTTGCAGACGCATTTCATCAACTGACATAACCATAGTTCTCTTATGATGGCTTTCCTCCGAGTCTTAAAACAGCAGGGTAATTTACTTTATTCAGCTTTTTAATAATACTAATCACAAAGACTGAATGATCGCTCAGGAGATTAGTTGGAAAAATAGAAGTGCACTCATAATGTTCCTTGAAGTTCACTGTTGTATGTGCCTGAAGTCACAGCATTGTTTTTTTTAATGTTCTGTTGTATTTGTCACAATAAGACTCTGGGAAGGGAAGCCCTGCAGCAACGCCGACAACATTTGCTCTTGCTTCTTGAGAGGATCCTGGAGAGAATTCCAGCTCAGGCCAGCATTCCTAGGCTAGGGGTCCCAGCTCATGAATTGCTGGCCTCGGTTTAGTGCAGACAGGCATCATCGTCAGGGTGTTACCAGTGTCTGTGCTTAAAGCGCTTTTGTTTTAAAATAATTACAGACTTGGAAGGAGTCACCCCAAAGTGCACACAAAGGCCCTGCATCTCCTTCACTCACTTTCCTGTAAAGATAACATCACAACAATAGCTGGATATCATAACTAAAGTAAGGTAAATATCAGGAAATCAGTTCTGGTATTGTCTACAGAACTGTTCACATATGAAAATGTTTCTCTCAGTTATTATATTTCTAATTATTGTTCCTGTGTATGTGTGTGTGTGCACATGCATGTGAGCATGTGTGCATCCCTCCTAAGGCCAGGAATCAACCTTAGGTGTAATCTCTTAGGAGCCGTCTCCCTCAGCTTTTGAGATAGTTTCTCTCACTGAGACTGGGACTTGCCAGTTAGGTTAGGTCAGGGACACACCTGCTTCCACCTCCCCATTTCTGGGATTATGTGTGCATACTGGCACACCTGTCTTTAGTGTGTGTGGCAGGGCTCAGACTCAGGTCCTCCTACTTGTGCTGAGGGCAGTTTACCAGCTGATTCCCTCCTCGCTTTTCATTAGCTTCGCCTTTTATCATCTTTGCTGAATGGTGGATTCTGTTCATTCCATGTTTCTAGTTGCCACCGTCCTTTGCCAAATGGAAGCTTACCTTCCCAGGGGTAGAGCATGCTGCAGCAAGCGTTGTGCTGGCCGCGAAAAGGATGCCGGGATAGACGTATGGTTTTCACATGTTGGTCTTGAAGACTTATAAAAGTGAGTATTATTTAATGGCATTTATGCCTAGATTGCTTAGTCAGTAGGGTTGAGATGGTAAGTGAGAGAAGCGGATTCAGCAGTGGCTGTGGGCAAAATGCTACCCAACAAAGACAAGACCACATATCAGCACCTAAAAGTACAGTCTTCCTACACAGGTGCCGAGATGCCGGCATAAAAACAATCAATAACAGCCAGGACAATACATCTCCACTAGAGCCCGGCAACCCTACCACTCCTCATGGAACTTTCTCTAAAACTGACCACGTACTCAAACAAAGCAAGTCTCGACAGACCCTGCATCCTATCCGACCACCATGGATTAAAGCTGGACATTAACAGCAGAAACGTCAGAAAGCTGACAAATGCGTGGAAAGTGCACAGTTCGCTCCTGAATGAAAAATGGGCCAAGAAGGAGATCAAGAAAGAAATTAAAGACTTTTCTAGAATTGGAACAAATATACAATATGCCTAAACTTATGGGATGCAATGAAGGCTGTTCTAAGAGACAAGTTCATAGCACTAAGCACCTACATAAAAGAAATTGGAGAGATCTCTTACTAGTAACTTAACAACACAGCACATCTAAAAGAAGAAATAAAAAAGAAGACATCACACCCAAAAGGAGTATACAGCAAGAAATAATCAAACTCAGGGGTGACATCAATAAGATGAAACACTCAAACAACAACAAAACATAGTCAATGGAACAAAATGTCCTTCCTACCGAAAGCAATCCGCAGATTCAGTGTAATACCTATCAACATTCCGCCACGTTTCTTCACGGGTCTTGAAAGGACAATTTTCAGCTTCATATGGAAACACAAAAAACCCAGGATAGGTAAAACAATCATGAATAATAAAAGAAGTGCAGGAGGTATCACCATCCCAGACTTCAAATTATACTACAGAGCTACAGTAATAAAAACAAATGATGTTGGCACAAAGACAGACATGTTGATCAATGGGATCGAATTGAAAACCCAGGCAGGATTTTACACATCCATGGACATCTGATTTTTGGTAAAGAAGCCAGAAATATACATTGGAATGAAGACAACATGTTCAACAAATGATGCTGAACAGATTGGGTGTCTGTATGTAGAAGAATACAAACAGATCCATACTTGTCATCCTGTCTAAAAACTCAAGTTCAAAATGATCTAGGACCTCAGCACAAGGCTAGATACCCTGAATTTGTTAAAAGAGAGAAATGGGGATAAACTTAAACTCATTGGCACAGGAAAGGACTTTCTGAGCAGAACACCTTTAGCACAGGCACAAAGACCAATAATTGATAAATGAGACCTCATGGGACGGAAAAGCTTCTGTAAGACAAAGGACACCATGGCTCGGACAAATCAGCAACCTACAGAATGGGAGCAGATTTTTACCAAGTCCACACCTGGTAGAGGGGTCATATCCAAAATATATAAAGAACTCAAAACACTAGGTATCAAGGAAACAAATGGCCCACTTAAAAAAATGGGGCACAAATCTAAACAGAGAACTTTCAAAAGAATAAAGTCATAGGGCTGAGAAACACTTAAAGAAATGCTCAACATCCTTAGCCACCAGAGACATGTAAATCAAAGCTACTTTGAGATTTCGTCTTACGCTGGTCGAAATGGACAAGAAAAAGTGACAGCTCATGCTGGTGAAAATGTGGAGTCGGGAACACTCCTCCATTGCTGGTGGGAATGTAAGCTTGTACAGTCACTGTGGAAATCAGTGTGGCGGTTGCTCAGGAAGATGGGAATCCATCTACCTCAAGGTCCAGCTATACCACTCTTGAATAAATACCTGGAGGTAGCTTCTCAGCCACACGCCTTACTGTTCTATTTGTAATCGCCAGAAACTGAAAACACCCTAGTTGTCCCTCAGCAGAACGGATAAAGAAAGTGTGGTCCATTTACATGATGGAATGTATTTTTGCTCAAAAAATGAAATTATGAAATCCACAGGTACAGGGATGGAACTAGACAAAAAAGTCATCCTGAATGAGTGTCCTGGCTAGTTTTATGTCAGACACACAAACTGGAGTTATCTGAAAGGGAACCTCAGCAGAGAAAATGCCTCCATAAGATCCATCGGTAGGGCATTTTCTTAATTAGTGATTGATGGAGGAGGGCCCAGACCATTGTAGGCGGTGCCTTCCCTGGGCTGGTGGTCCTGGCTTCTCTAAGAAAGCAGGCTGAGTAAGCTATCGGGAGCAAGTCAGGAAACAGTGCCCCTCCGTGGCCTCTGTATCGACTGGGACCTTCAGGTTCCTGCCCTGGGTGAGTTCTGGCCCTCGCTGCTTTTGATGGTGAACTTTCACGTGGAACTGTGAGAGAAATAAACCCTTTCATCTCCAAGTTGCTTTTCGTCATGGTGTTTCAGCACAGCAATGACAACCCTAACTAAGACAATCCCATAATCTAGCATCTTTGGTACAGGAAGGTACTTGGCCTACTACCAAAGGAGAAATGTAAACCAAGCCAGCCACAGCCCCTTTCATATTCCCGCCTGCCAGATATGCTAGGGCATTGATGGTGCAAAGCTTGGGAGTGTAACCAACTGATAGCTGACTTGACTTGAGGCCCATTTCTTGATCTGGATCCCTGACACTGGCTGGGTGACCAAGAACCAGAGACAACAGCCCAGGGACTTATGGGGACAAATATAAAGGAGGCCCAGAACCAGACAGTGTGCAAAGAGAAAGAGACCTCAGAACACTCAGATCTAAATGGGGTATCTCCATCAAATCCCTCCCTCCCAGGCACAGGGAACCCCAAAGAAGAGAAGGCAGCAAGAGTGTGATAGGGGACACCAAGGAAACAAGCCCTCTGCATCAACATGGTTGATACGAACCCACAAAGACTGAGGCGGCATGCAGAGGGCCTCCGAGGGTCTGCTGCCCCAGGTGGAGTCCTAGAGCTGAAAGGAGAAGTGGACACAGGCCACATCCCTAACCCGGAAACCGTCTCCAATAGATAACCACCTGCAGATGAAAATTTGGTTTCCCTCAAGGGAGTCTGACTGGGAAAACAAACTCCTCTTAAGGGCAGACCGCATGCCCAGCAGTCGATGGCCAACAGGAAATGTACGCAAAGGCATCTGTGGAGACCCTTGTCTCACAGTGTCAGGGATTTGCCTTTTTAAGAAAAATTTTAAAATTTCATCTTATTATTCTTCATTTTGATTTTACTTGTGTATTTTTCCTCCCCTCTTGGCTCTCCTCAGGTTCTTTCTGTGGACTCTGACTTCCAGGTCAGCGTTTTTATGGAATTCCGGGTGTGTGAACGAGTGGGCCCCTGTTCTTGTCTTCTCTCGAGCTCCCTTCCTCCCGCTGGTTTGTTTTGCCCAATTCTAGCGTGTGACCTCATTATATTATATTTATTATCCTCAGAAGCCTGTTTTCTGTTGAGAGAACGAAAGGATGGGTCCAGGTGGGAGGGGAGGAGGAACTGGGAGGAGTAGACGGAGGGAAAACTGTAATCTGGATTTCAGTAAAAGGACAACATATTTATATTGGGCAAGTGTGAATGAGGAAGTATGTTTTCTAGTGAGGCCAATGTAGAAAATATGTACTCAGAAACAGAACAGGGACAGCTTGGTCTTAAGTTCCCCAACTAAACTTCCGCCTTTTTTTTTTTTTTTTAAAAACTCCTCTGGCTCCCAGTGATGGTTACGGTGCAGCTGCCTAGCTCAGCATCCTCCATTCCAGCACAATGTGATCGCCATCGCCAGGTCTTACTTGGCTCTAGGTCGCCTCCTCCCCCTTCTTCCCTTCTCCCCGAGAATCAGCTATGTGCATGACGTCATCTTTGTATCTCGCCGTCTCCATGGTGCTGAGTGTCACCCTCCAGAAGGGAGCCTGCTTCTGCTGCTTCCGCTTATTAAACCATGAAAGTTTTCAGTGAGCAAAGGATTTTTGAATCATGGCATTTAGGTTTTAATCAAAACAAAAACAGGGCTAGGGACATGGCTTAGTGGGTAAAGTGTGGATCACACAAGCAGGGAGACTTATGTCCAGTAGCCCTGTCAGGCCAGGTGAGTTCCGTGAGTCTACAATCCCGGTCCTGTACAGCCAGATGGGGGCAGAACCCAGAGAAGTGCTTGAAGCCTGTAGACCAGCATTTCTGGAACACAAAGCAACAAACAGCAAGGGACCGTGCCTCAAATAAGATGGAAGGTAGCCACAAACACCCTCGGTTGTCCTCTGACCCCTACATGCTTTCAGTGGTATGCACACACCCACTTTTCACACACAAACAAGTGTGCACATGTGCATGTGCATGCATGCACACACACACACACACACACACACACACACACCCCAAAATTTGGAGTTCTTTACAAAGCCTGTAACTAAACCAAATGAAGCAGTGAATTTGTTCGACCATGTAGTGAGTTTCAAAGTCCTAGTTGGCCACAGCGTGTCTGGAACACTGATGCTTTAAGTTTCTGTCAGTGCCAGGGTAGGTGAGCTCTCTTAACCACCTAGGGTCTCTTCTAACCTGTGTGTGTGTGTGTGTGTGTGTGTGTGTGTGTGTGTGTGTGTGTGTGTATGTGTACGCATACCTATAAAATCTACAGTTAAGATGAGCTTTACAAGGCATCCATGAAAGAAGAGATGCCGTGTACACAAAGAAACCTGAGTGATACCCACAGATCACTTCTGCGCCCAACCATAGAGAAGCTGTTGTCCGCAGTGGCCAGTGGGTTGATGCAGAACATCGTACCTGTTTGAAGTGCTGAAACCAAGGGACTGTCGAGTGCTCAGCCCTACCTGGAACATCTGTATTATCCCTCCCCACCAAGGCTCGGAGAACACTGTGGGAGGGGGCAGGACCGTGTGCCAGAGGATGGGGAGGAGCCCTGTGAATGGCTGACCTCTGGACTTATGTGTTTATATAATCTTCCCACTTTAAGATGTATGGTATCTGCAGCTGGTTTGTAGGCGACTTCTCTGCCTCCTCAGAGTGTTGTTTTCGCTTGTTGAGGATGGGCATTCT